CCCCCCCTGGCTACAGGCATGAAATATATTATGTAACAAGAAATCTGAGATTCCAAACCTCCAGGAAGTAACATCTGTGTCCATAATATCACCATAGTCCATAATATCGCCACCTTGAGAAAAAGTGTGCTTAAAGATATTTTTACCGCAACATACCCTAGGTATGTACATTTGAGGTGTGCAGGAGTGCATACCAAAAGAATGTTGCAGTATATATTAAAGGACACTATTTCTCAAGGTGGCGATATTATGGACCCTGGTGATATTATGGACACGGATGTTACTTAGTATATGACGGATGATGACCACAATGATCGTTGTAAATTTCAGATATCATTTAACGGTAACGTTAGGCCACACCAATTGAATTTGTTGTTTCTCGGATTTGCCCTCGTTTTTTTTTTTGGTCTAAATCAACTGCAAAATGCTCAATGAAAGACATATTTTGGCCCCAATGGTTGAGGAAAGTCCTTTTCTTCCTAGTTGTTGAAGTTTTTCAATGTAACAATGCAATTTTGCTTCATTAAAAGTTCAAAATGTATTGTTTTAATTATAAACAAGTCTGGTATGTTCACTTCATGGCTCATATTGTAACATTTCGGGCTATGATGGGGTGCCTTGGTCTGTTTTTTTTTCACCCAGTCGCTTCATATTTTTTCTGAAAAAATCTGAGAAACAACAAATTAAATTGGTATGGCCTTACAAGAAAAAGATTAGTGATGTCACAAGTACGCACAAAAGTATTGATGGAGTAATGAGTGTACAAAATAGAAATCGGCAGTAATCCAAACAATAATTAATAGAATGCAGGTAAATTTTATGAAAAGGAAAGAATTGACAAAATGTAAAAAAAAAACATAACTGCATAGAAATACTAGTTGTTACAATACCCATACCAAAATGTGTTCCAGTTTGCCCTTACCTGAACCATGTATGTGCCCGGCAGCAATGTCTGTTTGGGAATTGTCAGATCTTTTTGGTTTGTGATTGGGTTCCTGAGACCATATATGGACACATATATGGAAGTATGTGGCATTAATTCAAAGATTGACCAGGAATATCCCGTGATAGACTTGTCTGGACATGCTTTCAGCCTGGCTTTACCGTGTAGGATAAAATCTGCCATACGTGATATCGGAAGGGGATCTGTTGACCTGAAACATATGTCAAACATGGCAATCAGAGATGGCAGACCTCAACACATGCTGTCCACAACCACAGACAGAAAAAAGGTAGGAGATACATGGCGATGCTGTATTGTGTGTTGCAATTGATCCACAACACACCAAACACACACACGCACGCACGCACACACGCACACACACACACATACACATACACACACACACACGCACGCACGCACACACACACACACACACACACACACACACACACACACACCACACACACACAAAACATACTCATTTTTTACAAAGCTGCCCTACCTGTGAATCCCTTCAGCGATTCCAATCTTAGTTTTGCACACTGGAAGTGATGCTGACAATGGGTTCAGTAAGGGGCACCCTGGAAACTGGGTAATGCAGGGAACATATCCTGAATAATAACCTGAAGATAAAAACAAAAGTTATTTCCATCAGACATTGTATTAAAACATGCTGAATGACATTCACACTAACACTGCCACTCCCTCGTCCTCGAATGACATTCACACTAACACTGCCATCCCTGTCCCTGGTGCTGAATGACATTCACACTAACACTGACATCCCTGTCCCTGGTGCTGAATGACATTCACACTAACACTGCCATCTCTGTCCCTGGTGCTGCTGAATAACATTCACATTAACACTGCCATCCCTGTCCCTGGTGCTGAATGACATTCACACTAACACTGCCATCCCTGTCCCTGGTGCTGAATGACATTCACACTAACAATGTTTAGAGTTAGATGTTCAAGGGTTAGGTGTAATGTAGTTTGGAATAAGCTGTTGTTGTGTCGCATGCCTGCAAAGCTGGTGTGTTACGCAGAAGGGCGGTTATACCGGCTATACAATACAGATACAGAAACACTGCCATCCCTGTCTCTGGGTTGGAATGACATTCACAACAACACTCCCCTTAGTTCTAAATGGCACTGACACATGCGGACAATCTCTTACCTCATTACTTTGTTGTATATAGAATAGGATAGGTTAAGTTATTAATCAGTTACAGGTTGTTGTATTTTATGTGTAGCAATAAGTAAGTGTACGTCTGTGTTTAAGCCTGTAATGTGTTTGAAGACTCCAGGAAGAATAGTGGGTATAAGCATATACTCACTAATGGAGATCATTCAAATAAACAATAAACATGCACTGCCATCCCTGTCTGACATAAAGTCCGACACACACACCTGTTTCACAGTGAAGGCCTTGATAACCAGGAGGGCACTGGCACAGGTACCCGTTGAGTCGATCTAAGCACACGCCGCCGTTAGTGCAGGGGCTGCTCGCACACTCGTCAATGACGTCCTCCAGTGTCAACTCGACAGTTGCATTGCAGAGGTTTCCTTGCCAGCCTCCACTGCAGCTGCAGTCGTATCGCAGGCTGTCGCCGGAGTCGGTACAGGTCACGTGACAGGGAGGCGTGCTGCACGTATCTGTGAATGAAACACAAACAAATAACTAGAAAGGTAACATTTGCAAGGCAAAAGCATAATGTTTCCTTGAAGTTCACATATGGTCTGCTCTGTTAATTCTTACTCAAATACATTCATATATATGGTCAGACAGGAGTCTAAATCCCTCCTTCTATAAAATTGCAACATTATGTAACCCAACACCAGTTACCATGGTGAGAGACGTCAACACATAAGGTCATTGACCAGGTCAAAGGTCAGTGTTTGGAGAAGAAGAAGAGGAAACTGAGCAAAAACTATATGTTTTCCTTTGGTAAACATAACTACAGTAACAATACACATCTTGTAGATAAATAAATACAAAATACATGTAAATCTAGCACCTGGATAAATTCTCTTTGTTTCCCACATTTGAAATAGCACCCACTATTGTTCATCAGAATGAGAATTCTTTTGTCAAACCAATAAAACCATACTTTTGTGTCTTAATTGTGTGTACAAATATATTTTATGTACCTGTGGCATTTGCAGTACACACACCACAGCTCAGTCTACAGTTGGCCAGCATGTACCCGCTGTTCCGGACACATTCTCCACTCAAGGCCCGGGCAGGACAGTCCGCGTTGGCATCCACACAGTCTGGACAACAGAAAACAAAATTTCATTCCCCACAAATAACAGTTCGTGTTACGCCAAAAAGCAGTTACTCAAGCAACTGGATATGATTTTGAAAACGTCAGACGTTTCAGCGAGTAGCTTATAAAAAGAAGTGCTTATAAACCTGCATTTCCCCTCTGGTCTCTCAGTCACTGACGAAAGCTAGTGGTTACTAGCTGAAAAGTCTGACGTTTTCAAAATCATATCCAGTTGCTTGAGTAACTGCTTATCGTATCGTATTACCTGGATGTCTAACTTTCATCGACGTAACAGTTTGTGTTGTTTTCACGTTGACAGTACTATTCACATTTTCTGTACACTGTTAAACAGTTACAAATGTATAAAATATGAAGAAGCGTCTCATGAATGTACACATGATGCAAAGAGAATACTTGATGGATGTTCTACTGTAACATTGGGGTATCAATGTGACAATCTTCATAATCTAAAAGATACATATGTTCACCATGTTGTGCAAGTCATGAAGTGTATACATAAGCATGCTGCAGCCTAACGTTACATCAATATTCATTTTCTTTGTTTTGGCGCCAAATGACCTGATATTTGGTGAGGAGGTAAAAGTAGGTAACTTCCCAAACAATTTTTTTCTTTGTCATTGTCTTTGAAATCATCCCCTTAAGGCTTCTGAATTCTGAGTTATTTCATGAATAAACAAATGATAACATTAAAAGCCTACCAGGACAGGTGACTTCAGTGTCACATAGGACTGTTTCTGTAGGTGACCCGTCACACACGGCACCGTTGTACTGAGGGTACGGGTTGCTACAGGTTCGGGTCCTGGTCTGGAGCCCAAGTCCACAACTGACACTGCAGCTGCTATACGATGACCAAGATGACCAAGAACCATCCACTACACACAAACAAGAATCTCTTTTCAATTTTCAAACATTATAAATTCATTGGCTGTTCAATTAACTTATTAATAAGTTACCCGAGATATCTACATTTTAGGGCACAGTGAAAATCAGGGTTTTGGAACATTTTTTTACTTTCCAGTTGAAAAGATGGCATTCATAGAATCAAATAGAGTTCCGATTGATTGATGAATGTCTTTTATAACCCTCAGCTGTAAGAATTCTGTAAGAATCCACAGATTTATTAAAGCATTAAAAGTTTGTGCACAGTACAGCGGAAGCATAGAATACTTGATCCATGAAATTTCCGCAAAATTCTGAAAACTGGGCAAATAATTTGGTGTGCCAGTGGCAAATTAAACATAAAGTTAAATCATTTTCAATATTTTAGTGTTCAACTGAACAAAATGTCTACTCTCCAAGCAGAGGTTTGGGTTTCGGCTTATTTTTGGCTTTTTGTCAGGGTTTCTTTTTTTGCACTGGGATTTTTTTTACCAACCCAACCTAAGAAATTCCAGTGCAAAAAAGAAACCTGGATAAAAAGCCTAAAAACACACCAAAAATAAGCCAAAGCCCAAACCTCTGCTTGGAGAGTACAAAATGTCATACCTTTGCTAGTTTGCATAATCTATCTAATATAGCATTCTAATGAGAATGTGCGTATGGTACTTCGTGTGGAGTTCCACACTGCAATATTATATTGGGAAATTTTGTTCAACAATACTGACCTGGAGCCAGACAGTATGGAACTCCCGTTTCTCCGGCATCCTTACACGTGCAGATGGTACAACTGGAGCCGTCTGACCTCCCCCCTATCTGGCAGGTACACAGGCCAATGGACGTAGTTGTTGGACACGACGGCTCGGTGCCAAAGACAGCAGCAACAAGCCAGGCTACTGTAGACAGACAGAAAATACCTCATCATTGACTGGACAAAGATAAACTGGAAAGGGCAAGATTCTGCACGAACAACTATCAAAGGGGTGCTAGTGTAACGAAAATGAAAAGAAACCTACAGTGGGGGTCGCTGGAAGACAGACGTAGAATTAATAAATTAATGTTGACCTGTTCATAGTAGTCCACATTAACTGTAACTTCGCAGTTTGCTGATCTTATTATGGTTAAGTTAACGCATGGAATTTTTGATGCCACTGGCTTTGCTAATTAAAAAGGTAAATAAACATAGTAAATGCATACAGCTGTTATCTGTAAGATAAATAAAATTCTATGTTAGAGCTTTATTTTTCTTGACATAACAAATAAAAATCTTGCTTTTCAGCTGGAAGGGGGACTGTAATATACTCCCTGCTGAATTTTGCCATAACTGATACAAATTTGATGAATGCACGCAATGCCACCACAGCCTTCAAAAGGTGAAGGTAATGTTATTAAAAAACCTTTTGTGCCACGAAAAGGAGTATAATTATGAGCATATAGCCTCACAATGAGAGTATAACTTTGTCAAATTATACTTAATTGCTCCCCACACCCATCTCTTTCAAAACCCGAAAATTTAATCATACTAAGTGTCCATAATTGCTGATATGATCACATCTCAATTATATGTTGTCCATTTTATCATGCTCCAGACTACACGCACATACATGCATGTGTACCACACCCTTCGTGCCCTTTTTGGCGACGTCTCAGGGAGGAGCCTAATGGTACAGTATTGTGTGCAGTTTACAAGAATTCTAGCAATGGTACAGGCATTTTGTCCACAGGAATGGAATGTCCACAGGCATTTCTCTGACCCACATCTATGCCCACATTCCTGGAACCTTGGGAAGACCTCTCTGCCCCGGATGGCCCTACTTTCTGTGACCCCGGGGCTCGTTCACTATACACTCAGGGGTAGTGCACTGTATCTGTCTAGACTTAACAGGTACCAAGTCTTCCTCAAAATCATGAATTGATGGCAGTGCCATGCAAACAATAACCCTAACAGCAACCACCGTCGCCATGGCAATGTATGTTTTCATTGCCAATCTTGTTCCACTACTGTACACCTAGTTTTGTTGGGCTTTAGTTGTATACTTCTACACCATAATGGTCCATGTTCCACAAACTCCTGACTACTGGAAAACCTGTTACTATCTTCAATAAGCTACGCAGAATCAACAACACACATCAACACAACACACGACTTTCACAGGCGGGAGGCTTTAGACTACCAAAATAAATAAACCCAGAACTTCCTCTGCTACTAGGACATTCTAGACATTTTTTTGTGCAGGTGCACAAAATCCTACAATACTTTCCCACAACACAATAAATAATCCGCACCATCAGCTTTCAAAAAACACGTCAAGGTCGTGTGTGTTGCAATAAGGAAGTGTACATACGTCCGTGTTTAATAAGCTAAATTTAATTTGTAATGATATGTGTTTTTACGACTCCAGGAAGAATAGTGAGTATATGCATATACTCAATAATATGGGGATCCTTCAAATAAACAAATAAACCTGCAAAATTCTACAGGTCTAAAATATCTGGTCACCATCAGTATACCATTTAGCCTGGGTACCGCTTAGGGAAGTGAGTGTGGGAGCCCCGGCATACAAGTAGGGTGGTACCCAGTCTATATACCATTTACTGGACTTTTTTTTATTCCAACATGTAATCACCAGACGTGGTGACGGCACACTCAAGTTTTTTCAACTTATATTAAAGCCGCCACCACCACAGGGACTAATACATGACAGGACAATACTTATTTTCACCTGAGCTAAGTGAGGAAAGTCGTGTAAAGTGCCTTTCCCAAGGGCACAAGATCGGTGGCATGTCAGGACTCGAACCCGGGACTCTTAGTTCCGAGTCGCGCACTCTGCCGCTACGCCACACGACCCCGACGTTTACTCACATTTACCGGACTTGAAAATATGTAGACTGAGTCTCATGTATATCCATTTCAAGATTACGTTGGGTTTACTTTACATGAAACACTGAGGGGGTGGCTCTGAGGGGAGTCGAACCCAAATCAACCCTGGGCTGCCAGCTCGAACTGAATGCCCTGACTGCTAGACCAAAAGGTCCGGATCCATTATTGGACTGTAGCCTGTACCGGGCTTTTCTCCGGCCTACAATTATCTACACATGTACTAGTGCAACTTGTACTAGTACATGTGTAGTTTTCTCCGGACCAGATCAACTGGAGTTTTGCATCTGTAATTCTGTACGGCGGGAGTTGATTGACCCAAAAAGCTGGCCCAGCTTGTTGTCTGGACATATTTCTGACCACGATAAACTGGACAAACTAAGCACAGTCACAGTCACAGTCACAGCCCTACTCAGGCCCTGTACTGTGGAATAACTTGTCAATGGATCTGAGAACGGCCACGTCAGTTGCAGCTTTTAAAAACCGACTGCGTCGAGTCACTTTAAATGACTATGATCTGTGGAATGAAACTTGATACTGATATAAGATATGAATCGAGATAATGTTTGAATTTTGTATGGACTTTTATATATTTACATTGTATTTCATTTCTATGACTGATGTTGTAACTGAACCGAAGCATTTGTAAAAGACCCCTGACTACCTCCCATTGAACTCTTGAAAAGCGGCTCAGGCCGAGGAGTGGTACTATTACATACTGTAGATTTTCAAGGCTAAATAAAGGTTGAAAGAAAAAAGAAATGAAAGTCAACATAAAAGTACGAAGAAAAGAGAGTCCGGGTCTTACCTAGTCTCCAACAGACTTCTTTTGCGGGGTGAATAAATCGTAGAAATCGAAACCATTTTTAGGCCGATTTCTACGATTTAATCATCCCGCAAAAAAGTCTGGTGGAGACTAGGTCTTTTTTTAACGGTATCGTTCACTGCAAGGCCAATTATTTTTGGCCACTTCTAGGCATAGAGCTAGAGGTACTTTAGTGAGTATAATGTAGTTATGTCAGGAGATGGCGGTGGACCTTTGTTTTGAAGCTTTGTGGATTGTAATCGGACGGAAAGCAACTGTTTTGGAGGGGAGTTCCATAATTTTGCAGGCCGGGGAAAGAAGCTGTTGTTGTAAAATGACTTGGAGACAGGTAT